TTTTCCACTGTAATACGTTGAAGTCGTGTCGAGCATGGAGTATCACCGTACGGGTCATTTCTCCTGACGCCTCGTTCTCAAATGTTTGTATATTTTTATTTTTTTATTTTACATATTTCAGCTGGAGATTCTGTGTCTGTGTCTGTGAAAACTGCTTTAAAGTTCATTTGTTTTCACAACAGTGAGAAGCGTGATGTTTTTCTCTTATATGATCTTCATCATCATCCAGTCTCTTCCTCATCACATTTTTATCATCTAATTAATTCCTATCTAATTAATATTGTACATTAGCCTGGTGCTGATCTCTGTGTCCAGGCCTTTCACTCACACTAGTGAGTGCACATTTATATTCAGTTTTTTTTGTTCCTGCTGGTCAGATCATCTGAGAGAGTTTCTCACCAGTTGTTCTAGGATCATTTATTGAAGCGTCTTTTTTTTCATCGCTGCTGGAGACGATGTCCCTGTTTCACCTGCTCTGACCATTAGCAGCAGCAGCAGCACCGTCAACAGCAATATCAATACCAAGCTCCGTTGACCCCCACTGTTCACCTTATTGACCGGCTGGAGCTGTGGGCCGGCTCAGGTGGTTCACACCTCGAGTAGAAAAGTTAACAAAACTCCAGAACAGAGATGAAGGAGGACTGGACAGCTCCACAGCTCCACAGCTCCACAGCTCCACAGCTCCACTCACCAGTTTCCTTTTTGTTGTTTCTCTTCAGGGAACTCGCCGTCAGAGGAGTCAGAAGAGCGCGACAAGGAGCCCAGGACTCTGACGTTTCCTGCGTACGTCGCCAGTCTGCTGGACACGGGCGCCAAGCGAATGGCGCCCGGCGTCCGTATGGACTGCACCAGCCAGGGCCAGTGCCCCCGCTCCTGCCATCTCTGCCACATGAGCCCCAGGGCAGCGCAGGGGCGGCAGCAGTCTGAGCCTGTGCTGCTGCAGATTACCAAGGCTGCACCCATATACGAACTGGTGTCCAACAATGAGACGTATCAGGTACGAGCAGAGGGTCAAAGGTCGAGACGCTGTCTCATGTCACACACACACACAAATATATATAAATATATATGTAAATATGGGGTTGTTTCCTTTAGTTCCTTCCAGCATCTCTTCTTAATCTGCCGTGGTTTTTCCACTCTCAGCATCCTGCAGTAATGTCAGTCTATTATGAGGCGTGGGCGAGCTGTGAGGTTCTGCTGAGGAACTCCATGTTCTTATGACTGGAGAGAACGCGGAGGAGCCGACACGGCCCATTAGAACCTGAGGATTTACGCGGAAGACTTTGTCTTCTAGGATTTAATTTGTGTGTCTCCCCTGGACGCGTCCTCTGCCATAATCTGCTCTACTAGACTGGAGTTTATTTGACTACATGGATACTCAGTGTCCTCACTGCTTTTTGTCCTCTGGGAAAAAGGACTCCATAAAAAGCACCCCCCCACACACACATAGACCCCCCCCCTCCTGACTGCAGCTCCTGTTTCCACGGAGCCAGTGTTTTACTGTGCAGCGACTTATGTAAACGCCGTTCAAAATATTTGAAATAAATAGACTGTAGTTCACCCACGGTGGTTTTTCTTACAACCAATAAAATGCACAGTATCTGGAGACAAACACCAGTTCACATTTGGACTGAAAGCCACATTAGAATGAACAGAAATAAAAACCTACTCTGCTGTGAGAGGCAGAGGAGCGGGGAACATCGTGACAGATCCGACGACTCGACCAAGATAAATACAGAGCTGTGCTCATTCACTTCAATTCATCACAATTAATCGTGATTAATCGCGATCGTGACTAATTACGATTAAGCTCTTTTCTATTCCCGATGGCTACGTAGAGCACTTAAGACTAAACAGTTTTTCCATTCACCTCCAGACAGTAAGGCTGCCACATATAAATGTATAAATAATCACCAAATGGAATTGATCCCACAACCTTCTGCTGGTAAACAGAGTGTAGTGAATACTGAGCTGCAGTAATACTTGATACTAATATTGTTCTTAGTTGTTCACAGTCCTGTAACCGCAGACCTGGACAGTGTTGTTTGTCACAGATGGTTGTTTTTTCCAAAGGCTCTTCAGGAGGCCATGATGAGCATCCTGTGGTGTTCAGGGAAGGGCGACGTCATCGACGACTGGTGTCGGTGCGACTCCAGCGCCTTCGGCACAGACGGACTCCCCACCTGCGCCCCCCTTCCCCAGCCTATGTAAGTGACCTTCCATCAAACGCCGTTCTCTGAAACAGGTCACTGTGATATCATCTGTCTTTTCACTGGCAGCTGTCCACCTGCAGGAGGCAGCAGTGTTGACCACGTTCAACCGCAGTCCAGTACAGCAGCTGTGGATGGGTCTCTGAGTGACCAGACCCAGACCCAGACCCAGAGGCCTGAGGTCTTTGTTTTCAAGTCACTCCTGTTAATACGATGATGAAAACATAAACATCTGTTTTAGAAATATTCAAAACAGCTTTAAAACAGTCACACGTCCCACAACGACATCAGATTTAAACACAAAAGACCTGAAAAATAGACAAAGAAACGTGTGGAGATCAGGGTTGGTTTTTCGTGTAATTTAGATTTTCTCCCAGTCAACGTCGACTCTTTAATTTTGAACGGTGATGTGAACGGCTCCAGTGTTGACTCGCTTTGTGTTTCCAGGTTGAAACTGTCCTACACCTACGAGCCCAGCAGCTCATTGGTTATCCTGGAGTGGAACCACACCGAGCCACCAATCGGCGCCCGCATCGCTGATTACCTCATCAGCCAGGAGAAAGTCACAGAGAGAACGGACCACTCTAAAGTTGAGACAGGTGCGTCCAACAGGTTCATGTCTCTGAACAACTCTGCCAACAGGCGTGTGTGTGTTTACTTCCTGTCCACTAAGCTGACACTAATAAGGAGAGAGGTTGTGTTGATGTTGCTGGCCTCAGTTAGCATGGACAGCTGCTGGCCAGTGTTCATCAGTTATGCTGGCTCCGTTCGCCACTTTGTCAGCACCATGTGGCCACAGAAGACAAATGAGTTTTTATTATGTTATATATTCT